GTGGCAAAGATGTTGGTGGAAATATCTTTAAAATATATTCACTGTACTACTAAATCAAGTACAAACTTGTGTGTCACTAACTAATGATACTTTAGGTTAAAACTATCATTAAATGCATGAAAGGTCATCTAGAGAGAATATGGGGTTCAGGAGAGCTAAATTACAGTAAGATATGATTCCCTCTTTTTGCATCCTTTTTTATTTTCACCTATGTAGATAAAATCACATCAAGGTGAACAGGCTCAAACAGACGGATATGGTGGGGAGGAAACAAAGATTCTCTCTGCAATAGGTATGCTTTGCTCTGAGCAAGTTCAAGCTTTCGCACATGGAACGTATAAGGCTTTCTCTGTTGTTACTAGTTATCTAAATAAATCACTGCCTGGATATGCACAACTGGTTACTCTAACAGTGATAGTCACTCAAAATCTATATTGAAGCAACTGCCTAATTCACCGTACCCAGGATGGCAATGCCACACACACTTTACAGAAAGGGAAATAAGACATGTTCAAGTCACACACACAAATTTTTTTTTTACCTTTAATGTGTTTTCTTTTTAACCATGGCTACTCTACAATACAGCGGTATTCCTAGTCAACTTTTCACTTTCAAAATCATCAGATTGCTATTCATTTTGAAACTGCTTAATTTTAGAGTTTCACATAGTCTATGCTTCATCACTATTTTTGAACAGTTCTAAAACTAAAACGTACAAATTTAGATCTGTTGAGTATCCTGGGATACAGTATGTGTGAAGTCATGACAAAACAAAGTTGAAATATGAGCTACTGGCTATAGTCCAGGCATATGATGATAAATTTAAACTATAAAAAATCTACAGCAAAACTCTTTATTTCAATTCATGTAAGAGTAATACATACTTTACTTTTGCTGTATCAACATTTATGGGAATTCTTGCTAAGGAGTAAATGAAAATGAAGCCAATTTCCCATTGAATTTCATTTTAATATATTAGAATGTCCCCTCACGATTATCATGTCAGAAGAAAATTATTCATTATTCTGACTTTTTATGAAAACTGGAATGTATTTGGCATATTAGACATTTAGTAACTTCTGTTTATGTAACAGGTCTTTCAATAATTAAAAGAATAAGGCCAGGAGCCAGTACAATAACATATGCCTGTAATCTCAACTACCAAGCAGGCTAAGGCAATAGGATTACATCCTAGACCATTTAATAAAACCCCACCTCAAAGTAAAATTTAAAAAGAGATGGAGATAAAGTTCAGTGGTTAAGCACTTGCATAACATGTGCTAAGATCTAAGTTTTTATCCCAAGTACCATAAAAGAAAATTATAAAACAAAACATGACAAAGTCAGATGCCAGAATATATGAAAGCATCAGAATATATATTGATTTCTAAAAGGACAAAAATAACATTCTTTAAATGACAAAATAATCTTTAGTGATCTGTCTAAAGTCTTACCTCATTTTCACTGTCTTATTGGAAACAAAATTTATTCTTCTTTAAAGGTACTGATAAAAATGAGATTGTATCTGAACTAGTTTATTTATTTATTTTTATTGGTACCAGGGATCAAACTCACAACCGCCTGCTTATAAGGCAGGTGCTTATGCCGCTGAGCTAAATCCCCAGCCCCTTGAACTAGTTTATTTTTAAGGAATAAATATATTTTACTGTCATAAAAAGTAGGAAGATATTCTGCAATCTTTTTTTCTCTGTATCAAGCCTCCTTTACTTTCTTCTACATCTCACAAAACAAAGTGCTGAAACAAACTTAAAGGGGTCTAAATCTATGTTTCAGTATAATTAACTGTTATAACTTAAAACTTTTATTATAAAAGATGGGTTAGTCGATGGTAGCAAGAATTAATTACTATATCCCTGAATCCATAATCAGTTCACACATTGAATGGATATATACGATGTCTAGTAGAAAATAAAGGAACATAAAAGAAGAATAAAATGCTCTCAATATTCAGAGAGTTATCATGTTGGTAGCTTTTTAACAGGTGATTTTTAAATACTTTCTGCATGTGTGAAATACAAAGGATAGAAGAACATCACAGGGAAGCAATTCATAAAATCTAGGATGTAGATAATTCTACACTATAAATGACCTACGTTCTTTCACAAACACATGATGCTTAGCCTAGAATTCTTAAAAAGGAAGAGATCAGTGTAGAACTGAGGAAAGTGAAGTGGGATGAGAGAAAGCTAATTAAAGAGCATTTCACTGAGCTGATTATCACTGTGGACAATCAGGGCTGAATTCTCCTTGAACTACCTGAGAAAGCATAGTTTGTGTATCAAAATTTATCACTGAACACAGTAAAGAGGAAAGTATAGGATGAGCATCACATGCATCCAGTTCACTTATGTTTTATATGCACCTTGTACATACAGCCTAAAGTTAATTTCATACAACATGTTTAGTTCACCTGCATTTTGATTATGAGAACAGGTCAAATGTAGAATATTCCACTTATGACATCATGTTGGCACAAAAAAAAAAAAAAGGTTTCTCTGGAACATTTTGGATTATGGATTATGGGCATACTTACCCTGTCATGGCTCTTATATTTACTTGTGAAGTTCTGTCACTGGTGTTTAGTATTTTGTATTTCTTTATGTAACTTCAAGTGACAGTCCAATATCCTTCTATTTCAACCTAAAGCACTCTCTTTAGCTTTTCATGTAAGTAATGACAACAAGCAAAAAACTATCTAAGTTTCTGTTAATCTAGGAATACTAGTTTCTCCTTCCGGAACTCTGATTATATGTGTGCTATTACACTGCGAGGCATCCTACCCTCAGGGATGGCTTCTGTCATACTTTTTTGTTCTCAATCAATTAATAGTTCAATATTCTTGTTGTTGATTTAATATCTTATTAAAAACTGACAATTCTGAATACTATATTGTATATTTTTGTGCTTGTTTCAGCAGCATATATATTGTGTATTTTATTAAAAACTGGGCATTGTGAATATTAACCTATGCTTTGGGGTTTGGCGTTGTTGCTTGTTGAGGACTGTAGTCATGTGTGTTTTATTTTGACTGGGAATTAAACCCAGAGCTTTGTAAATGCTAAGCAAGTGCTCTATTACTGAGCTCTTTTCAAAAGTTTTATTTTTAGACTAAGTCTTCCTAACTTGTCCAGGCTGGCCTCAAACTTGTGTTACTTTTGCCTCCGTCTCCTGAGTAGCCGGGTCACAGGCATGTGTCACTGCACCTGGCTTAGTGACTTTTCTAAACAATTGCATTTCTTACCATGTGTCATCTGCATAGTTGTTCTATTATGTGAAGAGTAAGCAAGTCAATGGATAAAGATTTCCTTAAATGCTGGAACTAAAAAGAATGAAAAACAAACAAAACTTCTGCCAGTGTTTGCAGACTGGCCCTGAGCTCAGATTCAAAGTTTAATCAGACCATCTATAACTCTGCTGTAACTTTCAAGTCTTCACCAATTATGTGTACTATTGTATGCAAGCTGCACTTAGATTCCTCAGTTTGTATGATAACCCTCCATACCTCTGTCCCACCACTCTTTCCACCATCTCACAGCCTATAGAAGCCTGCTGAGACCAGGATTTCTAAAACATCAATGTGTCTGGAAGATTGTGGAACAGACCTTTTTTGTTTCTTTTTTTTTTTTTTTTTTTTTTCCAGCTATAAGCAGGGTGCCTGGAACCAGAAGGAACACACATCTAGTCTTAAAATTGAAGATGCTTAGGCTGGAGATAGAACTAAACTCTATCTGCACAAGCAAAAAATAACATCATGATTTCCTGGCAGCAAACCAAGCAACACCACAGTAACACAGGGAAAGGTAACTCGTGTGCTTAGAATAGTGTTTTGGTTCATATCAACCTTCCTTCTAAGGCTACTGGATGCATAATCTGCATGATGCTTATATTCTTCAAGTATTTAAACTAATGACAGTAAACAAAGTAGATCTGCACTCTTGAAAAATAAATACATAACAATAAAAAGTTTCTCCATGTGTTCTTCCTCCTGATGCTCACCCTTCTGGGGCCTTTTAATCTGTCTCCTGCTTGTCCTATCTGCTGTCCATGGCCTGGGTGACTACAGATAGTATACTGCATGTTTTAAATTATTTTTGGTAGATGACAGATGAGACGCTACTAAAAGCCTAGACAGATGAAGCAAAGGCAAGCCTTTGCACTACTTAGTACTAGAAAAGTCAGGTTGTACAACAATAATTTTTGCAAACAAGGTCAATACTGCCCACCTCCCTTTCCCACAGCTCTGCCTCCCAAACAGTGAGCCACACCAGCAATATAGCTACTGACCAGATGGCTGCTGCTAAGCTGGAAAATAGGGCACAGTAGGCAAAAGTACCAATCGCCAAAATTTAGGAGACTCTTTTTCCACTAAGTGTTGCCCTGGCTGTATGCTAATTAGATTGGAAAAAAAATTGATCCTGGTCTATTTTGTCAACTTAATGGTTGTTTCAGTAGAAGACCTGAATCCTGGAGCGCCCCTACTCTATCATTTTTCTATGCAAATATATTGTTAAATTGTTACTTTTAATTTGAAGTCATTTATTTTCTGTCCACAAATCTTGTTTACACAGGCTGTTTCTTCTAAAGAAGACATCCTTTTTACAGTTCTTTGCTTGACTAAATTTTATTCACATGAAGGCATACTGTGTAGAAAGCATTCTTCAAATTCACATCTTCCAGATTGAGCTACATGTATCCTCTTTTTCACTGCTACAGGATTTCTGCATAACACCTTATACAGGTACATTCTCACTACAGTGATGAATTTCACCCCCAGGATCATGGATCTCTTGACTGGTCCTGACCCCTGCCACACTGGCCTGGCTTCAGGCTCCTGTTTGTACTCCTATGGCTTAGTACAATGCTTAATTATCAAAGGTAGCACAGTGAATGTAATTATTGCATAGACCAATACAATTCAGGCAACATATGGAAAGCAAAAAAGCTAGAATAGTCTCTTATATTTTACTTTAACATCTTACGTTCTGGTTGTTTTTCATTGGGTGTAATGGATCGCACAAAATCTTGTGGAGTCATAAACACTTCTGTTTCACCAGGCTCATTGATTATTTTCAAGGTGGCAAAATATCGGAAGATTTTGTCTGGTGTGGAGTAGGCTCGAATTCTATTCTCATATTCCATCACCTAAAATTAGAAATTCCAAGAGTGTTACTATATTAAATAATGCTCATACACTCTCTTCATGAATACTCATAAATTCTCATATATTTTTCATGTCATGTATTTTTCATTTATATCTTTTCTATAATTGTATTTCTATACTATAAATAAACTTCAAAAAAAGCTTGAATTTTCTTTTTTTGCAATATGCCATTTATATGTCAACTGGCACAATGATGATACAATTTTGTTTAGGACTCCTTTCTTAAAGAATTCTAATTCCTTTTCCCTTTCCTTCTGTTTCCTCCCCTCCTCTTCTCTGCTTTTCCCTCCTCTCCCCTTTCTTCCCCCTTTCTTTCCTTCCTTCCTGCCTTTCTTTGCTGGAACTTACATTAAATACAGGCAAGAACAACTCACTTGGATTCTAATTTCTTAAGTAATTAAAAGTTAGCAAAATTTAAAAATGTTATTAAAAGAATTTAGAAGGTCTCCATAACCAGGTACAATAGTATGTTGAGTAGCTTACAGTTCTTAAATACCATCTTTTAAAAAAAGAGATTAACTTTACAGTTCTTAGTTCTGTTCAATTTCTTGAATCCTAAAACAAAACAGACTTGAGATTCCATAAGATTGAATAGTCGGCAGGCCTTCAAAAACAAAGTACATTAAATGATGGCATAGAAAGATAAAATTATGTATCATGGAAACTCAATTATTAATAGATCTGAAGCAAGACTATGACTAAAAAATAAACTGCCAGAAATTCTTTACATACAGTATATTTAGAAGGGAGTGGAGTTGGAAAGCGCACAGAAAAATGTTTGAAGAAAAGTATATTTAGTAAAAGTGTGTCATGTTAACGTGGTTGCTCAGATCCTTATCTGACACACAAGTCCCCATTCTGAGCATGCAACATAAAGCATGATGCCAATCACATATTTTGGTGAAAATTTTTCTTATACTTGAATTTTATATTGAGATAGCCAATAATAAATATATCTTATAAATAACTAGCTAGAAAATATACCATGGCAATCAAACCTAAAAACTCATTGGCCCCATGTTTATAAAGGAACTCACTAATATTTTAAAAAGTGATTAAAGTTTTTAATTTGCCACATTAACATAAAAATTACTGTAACTGCCAGTCTTGGCTAGATGTCACTCGGGGGGGTCACTGGCAGCAGCTGTTTTACAATTGTCTTAATTCTACTGCCATATGCACTTTTAGCAATTGAGAAAGGACTCCTCATTTAGAACTGCACATGACAAGAATTCAGTGCTAACTTGCGTTAAAATCTGAATAGATTTCAAAGGAGCCTTTATCAAAAGATTGAGCATGTGGCAAACACAATAAGGAGCTTCTCAACCCCTCAACCCCCCCTTATTGAGACTGAGCAATAAGTATAGTATCAAAGGCATTTTAGATTAGACTACAACTATTTGTAAGGTAATACTGGCTATGGGAGAAATATCTTTCTAAGCCATTTATATTCTTGTATTTCCTTTAAATGATAGCAACACCAGTCAGGTGTGGTGGTGCACATTTTTAATCCCAGAAATCAGGAGGCTGAAGCATGAGGATTGCTGTCAGTTCAAGGCTAACTATATGGTGCATTCAAGGCCAATGTGAGTTAAACAGTGAGCCCCTATATTCAAAAAACAAAAATAAAACACAACAACAAAAAACACCAGAAAGAAAGAGAGTGATAGAGCGCTTGAGGTTGGAATGGAAAGATATATAAATGGTAACTACTGATAGAGGGCTTTGTGAATTAAAGTACATCATATAAAATTGACAGGTAATAGCATAAAAGTCAGGGAATTTAAGACTGAAAGTCAGATTCCTTGATTGTAATAAGAGCTGTTAAATTATGTTGCTAACTATTTAGACGATAACAAGAGATATGATGGTAGCCACTGCTGATCTCCTGTTGCTCTGAAATCCTGTGTCACTTATATTGTTTTGTTCTGTTTTTGTTCTCTTTTGTTTTATTCTCTTTAAAATAAAAAAGTGTGTTGTTAAATGTTATTAATTTGATCACAATTTAGGCCTTATATATACAATTTGCTATAGACAAAGCTTTATTTTGAAACAATGGGCCAAGCAAATAGAATAGGTACTCTCATACTGGCAAAATTTTGTATGTGGTACATAGTACATATTTACTTTTTTTATACTTCACATTACATCTTGAAGATCATTCATACCCAATGATATGGAGCTGGCTCCTTTTAAGCACTAAATGAAATGCAACAGCATCCAAAATGACAAAGATCTAAAGCAGAAATAAACTGCTGAAGATTTAGGAATGTTAAGAGAAAAAAATTTACTAAGAATTAAGATAGTTCAATCATTGATCAAACTTTCTTAAGGATCATTAAATATGCTAAGACACATCTTCAATAAAACTCCCAAACTTAAATGGATCAAATTCAGGCTTTATTTTTCCTGTGTGAACTGCACCAATGAGTAGCCAAAGTGTAGCTGTAGGAGATGAAGAATAAAATTCTTTATAAAGTGTCAATAAATTAAAATTTTATAATATTCAAATATCAACATTTTAAGCAACCACAATGAATTAACAGATCTAGGCACTGAACATTCATAGTTGCTAATATGACAAACAGAAAAGTAACTAGACATCAGATGTTCCCTAATGAAAAGAAAATATTATACCTAGTCTTGAAACTCAAATCTGGGTCTACTTGAGCTAAAAATTCAGCTGCCATTGTTCAAGTAACACGAGCAACAGAGAAACAGTGATTCGCACCAAGAATAACCATCAGTAACATTCCGACCTCAGAAAACTTTTAAAAGTTAAATGGCCTGGATTCTGTCACTTATACAGAAGAGAAATAAAAGACATATCATCAGGCTGAGGGTACAGCTCAACAGTACAGTGCATGTGTAGTGTGTTGGAGGCCCTAGATTTAATTCCTAGCACCAACCAAAAGAAAATGGAATAATTGAAACAGGTTGCACTAAGCTGTGTATCCATGGACAGTCATCTGGGCAGAGCAAGCAAGCAGAGCTCTCTCTCTTCTAGCCTCCTACACGCCGAAAGGAAAGAAGGCCAAGGGGAAGAAGGTAGTTTTCGTGCCAGCATTGCTGTCATAATGAAGCTAGAGACCACACTGGTAAATCTTTTGTTTGAGAAAAGGCCTAATAATTTTGGCATGAAACAGGACATCCAGTCCAAAAGGGACTTCAATGGCTCTGCCATATCCAACTGTAGTGGCAAAGGGCTATGTTTAAGAGATTTAAAGTGCTTCCTGCAATTAACCAGTTCACTCATGTCATGGACCGTCAAACAGCAACTAGCTTGGCCCACAAGTACAAACCAGAGACAAAACCAAAGAAGAGGCAGAGAATGCTGACCTGCACTGAGAAGAAAGCTGCCAGCAAAACAGATGTCACTGAGAAGCGGTAACCATCCTTCAAGCACAGTTAACACTGTTAATATCATCCTGGTGAAGAATAAGAAGGTTCATCTGAGGTGGCTGCATTTGACATGGATCCTCATCGCCTGCCTGTCTTCCTGCCTACTCTCTGTCACACAAGTGGAGGTTCTCTAATCTATCACAGGAAGGCCACGCTGGGATGTCTGGTGCATAGGAAAGAAGGATCAGTACCACCATCGCCTTTGCCCAGATTAACTCTGAGCCCAATGGTGCTCTGGCTTAGCTGGTGAAACTACTGGTTGGTACCAATTACAAGAGATAAAGTGAGCTCTTCTGTCATTAGGAAGCAATGTCCTGGACCCAAAATCCATGCCTCACACTGCCAAACTGAAAAAGACAACAGATAAGAATTGCTACTAAATTGGGTGAAATATATACTGCTGAATTTTATGTACATAAAAATAATACCTCCCCTACAAAAAATTCAGTATAGGGTATTATTTAGCCACAAAGAAAAACCAATCTGAGTAGTCTGAAGAAAAATGGATAGACCTTGAAATTATGATATTAAGTAAAACAAGGCAGTCACAGAAAATTATCAATTTTTTTTACAAGAAATCTAATATGTAAATAAATTAAAGAATTAAATAAAAGAGCAGAAAACAGGAAGATATACTTCTTGGCAATGGGAAAGGGAATCAAAGGAAACTGGGAGAAGGGTAAGTAGGAAGGAGAAGAAAAGAGTATTGAAAATGCTAATATGACAAACACATGTATGCACCAATTTCTCAAAATGAATGCAATTATTATGTATCACAGACATATCCATTAACATAGTATTTTTTAAAAATAAAATTACTTTATGGTATCCTATATCTATGGTTTCTTAGAGAGTAAAACAATTATTTTTTAAATTCAGATATTCTATGTGATACTGAATAGCAGAAGTAGAGACATGGATACAGTCACAGGCAAAATTTTGGCTAAATAAGAAAGAACTGAATAGTAAGAGGTCAGTGCTTAAGAAATAAGGATGTTTTAATTCACCCATAAAACACATACACAGAGCATTTTGAGAAGTGGTTTCTTTGAAAAATGGATCAAACTCTTGAACTTAAATGGGCTACTAGATGTTATTTAAAACTTTTCACAGAACTAGAAAAAGCAATCCTGAATTTCTTTTGGAATCAGAAAAGACCCGTATAGCTAAAGCAACCAGAAGAAAAAAGACTAATATCAACCCAGACTTCAAGTTATATTGTTAAACCAGAGAAATAAAAACAACATGTTACTGGAACAAAAATAGAAATGTAGACCAACAGAAGACACAGAAACAAACCCACTCACCTACAGACATCTGATTTTTGACAAGGGAGCCAAAAACATGATGGAAAAAAGATAGTCTCTTATACCAATGGTGCTGGGAAAATTGGACATCCATTTGTAGAACCCCATCCCTCACCCTGTACTAAAATCAAAGTAAAATGGATCAAAGACTTAGATAGAAAACCAGAGACATTGAAACTGCTGAATGACAATGAAAACTGTTTCATTGGCTAGAAATAGATGAAACGAAAAACCATCTGAAGTGAAATTAGCTAGACTCAGGAAGTTAAATATCAAGTTCTCTCCTATATGAGAATTCTAAAAAGTATGCACATATATACATAGATACGTACACACATAAAATAAAAGAGAAAAATAAGAGACATAGCAGGGGATGAAATAGATTCTCGAGCAGATGATGACATGTGGAATGATGTTCCTGAACAGGGAAAAGACAGCTTTTCCTCGGAGACTTTAGTGCTACAATAAGAATTATTTCAGACATAGATTAAGTAGGTTTTGTACCTTTGGGGTTTAGAAATTGCCTTAATAACTTAATTTTTTTCTGTGAAATATGAGACTGGTCATCTGCTAAGGAGAAATTAGGAGAAGAAAATACAAGCATGTTAAAAAATGTTAACTTAGTCATTTTAATGCTATTTTGTAAAACAAACTATGCAAACAAAACTGCTTACACTAGGTAAAGTTGTGCTTTCTTTGAATTCACTCAGGGATAAAGAATAAATGGTTATAGATAAAGTAGGACACTTGAAAATAACTTACTTGTGATACATAACTTTAGTTTAATATACTTCAATCAAAGATGGATTTAGGAGTGAAGACATATTTAATAACTTCATCTAAATGTACAACCAGAAAGATTTAAATTTCCCAGAGGAACTCTTGCAAATAAATACAGTGTAACACACGACAAAGAAATAATTCACACCATTTTGTTGCAATATTAGACTATAGTTTAGTAGGTTAAGGCACCTCCTTGAATTTTAGTCTAAATAAACAGACATCTAAGAAATTCATTTTTTTGCTTGTTTATGACTCATGTCTGCTGAACTCAAATGTCAGAACACAGGCACTATTATAGTGGAAGTGAAATTTTTCTGAGGTGAAACTATATTATCAGGTTATATTAATTATATGGACTAGAACAGTCATTTGAAGTTTATTCTGTCCTCAAAATGACTCAATTTTCTGGAAATTATGTTTCCAAGAATATTTTATTCTCTTTTTACAACCTGACATTATGCACAGAATTACTACAAAGATTCAATATATCTATAATAACACTAAACACTAAGCACTGAGATCTAAAAAGCAAGAATTGCTGTAATAGTAGAACTAAGAAAAAACTATGATAATCCTTGTTACTTAATGCTATACCTGTTAACTACTCCCTCTTAACTTCACATTCAAGAGTACCTTTGGTTTACAACATGATGGGAAACTGCAAAGAGACAAATAATTTACAAGTGAAAGAAACTGATCTGCATTACTCTACTTTAGGGCACAGTTCCGATTAATTTATAAGATTTTGTTCCATACTTTTCTGTCTCTGAATCCACAGCGTTTCTTCTTCTTTTCTTCTGGATAAGGTTCAAGACCAGTATCTGCAGCTTTTTTTTCATGATTACAAACTTCTCCTTCATCTTTATTCTTCCCTTTATCACCAATGTCAGTCTTTGAGTTGTTTACACATGGTGGAGATTCTGCATGAGCCCTAGATATGTAAAAGAGAAATCTACTTTAATCATCAAAGTTTACCATATTAAACAAATTCTCACAGGTACAGGTAGCAGGAACAACAGCAATGAAACCTGTCAAAAATTCTACATGAAGAAATTCCTCAAAAACTAAAAATAGAAGTATCATATGACCTAGCAATCTCATTTCTGGCCATATCTTAAAAAACTAAAGTCTTTAAGAAGTATTTGTAGAGAAAAGCCCACCTCCCTTAATCGGCAAAGCTGGGACTGGGAGAATTCAACAAGAAGCCAACTAGCCAGTCTTTCTGGTAAGCCATGTAAGCTGTAAGGGTTTCAGAAAGAGAAAAGTCAGATAGCACTTTCCGTGAGCCTACTGGCAGCAGGGGCTGAGAATCAAACACACCCTCCTCCTTCCCCAAGCAACTGGTGGGTTCTGAGGACAGGCTAAGTTGATAGCAACTAAGGAACATAAAGCAACTAAATGTTTGTATTGTTTGGTTGATTTTGCAGTCCTGGGGCCAGCGGTCTGAGCATCTCTTGACAGAATGACAGTACGCAATGTAGCAAATATGGGGGATTTCCTTCTGTCTTCTCTTTGAAGGCCCATATTATTCTGACTGTTTTTCCTTTCTTCTGATTAATTGTTTTGCTTTATTCAACATTCTGTTTTGATTGGTTTTATTCTGTTTTGGTTTTGGTTTGATTTTGTTATATCTGATGGAAGGGATAACTATTGTGAAGATAAGATACACTAGGTTAGCTACTGTTGTTTTCATAATATCCTGCTTTGAAGTTCTTTACTAATTTTGCTGCTTTGTTTTGATTGGCTTTGTTCTGTTTTGTTTTGTTAGATTTTACTATCTTTAAAATAAAACATTTTTAAAATACCATAATCCTGTGTAAGTTCATAAGCAAATTATCCAATAAAGCAAAAAATGTGTAAAGTAAATTTTAAAAGAAGTATTTGTATACCCACATTCATAGCCACACTATTCACAATACTGAAGTGTGGCAGTAACTCAAGCATCTTTTAGTGAATGAGTGGATAAACAAAATGTGGCATTATATATATCGAAATATTAGCCTTAAAAATGAAGAAACTCTGATTACATGCTACGAAGATGAATACTGAGGATGGCAAGCTAAGTGAAATAAGCCAGTCACAAAAAGTCATACTATATGATTCCACTTCTCTGAGTTACCTAGAGTAGTTAAATTTATGGAAACAAAGCAGTTTCCATAAATGGCAGTTGCCCATGGCCTAGGAGACAGAAATGGGAAGTGACTGTTCACAGGTAAGGAGATCTAGTTTGGGAAGATGCACAGAGTTTTGGAGATGGATAAAAGGGGAATGGAGAAGTTATTTTTTAATGAATAGAGCGGGTCATTTTAGTAAGATGAAGTTTGGAGACCTGTTTGTTTCACAATGATGTGACCATACTTAATATGATGGAAGGGAAGTATATTATGGTTAAAATGAAAAGTTCTGTTTTATATGTTTCCTACTACAATAAAAAACATAAAGAAGAAATAGGGGCCCAAAAGAATAAAACTCAAGTAGTCAAAAACTTACATACTCGCATATATAAATTCTACATGAAGTCAATGGATCTACTAGTCTTCCCAGGCTGACTAGAGAGTACAGCTAGCAATCTACTCTATAGCGATTTTCTAAACATCCTGAGCCATGGTATTGCTTTTATTCCTTCAGACTCCTATATCATTTAATGCACAAACTATAACACATACTTTAGTATTAGGTATGGTAACTTAAATTGCCCTAGAATCCATCTTGCTCTTCAACTATTAGGCAGAATCGAATGACACTATTTCTACACATAAAAATTTGTCAAGAGTCAGCAGTATCATATGGTTTATCCTAGTAACAATATTAAAAGAAAACTGGACACTATATATTTTTTTCTTCTAAATCTTTTCCTTAAAAGAAAGCATGCAACTGGGGGGGGGGGTGAGGTCCATGATGGCATACCAACAGAAGTCATCAACTATGCTGACCAGAAGTGGAGGTAAAGAAAAGTATACTGAGATTAAAGTACTTAGAAATAATTCTTAACACATTTGTTTCACACGACTATTTCAAGAAGACTTCAATCCAGTTTTTATTTGCAAATAATATTTTCTAAACACTAATAAAGGCAAATAATTATTTGAAGTTATAAACAAAAACAATCATTGATTTTTAAAATGATAAAGCCTAAAATGAAACACATATTTAAAAAGCAACAGTAAGTATCACATTGATTTAAGTTTCTTCTACACATGGTTTAAAAGCAATCTTTTGATCTTAGTTTGAATTTCTTTTCAATCTTGACCAAGTGACGCACTGGACCAGATCATGGCTTTATTTCCCTCTAAAAAGCCTACCATAATTAAAAGAGATCTTTAACTAACTTTAATGGTTGCTAAAGTGGAAATCTAAGCTATTTATCATGAGGTAAGAGATGGCATTCATTCAATCCATTCTTCGACAGCTGTAATAAGCACATTAGTTCTAAAGTTAAGATCATCCCTACCCTCAAGTTCATAGTCAGTAGAGAAAAAAGACAAAGTGATGAAGGAACAAGTAAAGATAGAACAGAGGGTCAGGAAAAACTTCCTTGATAGTAGAATTTGTGAGCTGCCTTCTAAAAATCTTGAAAGTTCTACAAAAGAAAAGCTACATCAATTCAAAACCATCTGGTATAACATCTATTAGTCATATTGTTTAATGAATTAGCCAGCCCTCAAAACTGCTTCTCAAAAAATTGTAAACTAATGTCCAAGATATTCTGAATGTTCATGCAACATTTCCACTCTAGCATGCATGCTTATGAGTCTTTTTTCTCCCACAAAGTTATTCCTGATAGTTGAAGCCACCCCTACAGAGATAATTAATTAGCACCGAACTAATAAAATGTAACAATGTACAAAAAACAGGACTTGTTTCTTGCCACAGTGGAATAACTACAGTGGATTACACTTGCTACAGGGGGAAAAAATACAGAAAATTGAACAAAATACCCAAAACAACCATTTTCAGACACAACATAACAGAAAGCTACTCTGAGAAAATAAGGAGGCTAAATGCCTAGAATTGTTGCCTGTAGACATTTACAGACCACTCACAGGAACTCAAGGAACAATGCTATGATCTTGCTAAGCTGAGGAACCAGCAATCAAAGTTTGGAGAAACTGAGCTGCCTAGAATTCGTAAGGCAGAGGGTCTGAGAAGTCACACAGAAAAACAGCGCCAAAAATCTATACAGAGAGACTTTGATTCATGACTAAACATTAAGCAGTGCATCCTTAGGATGAAACTCTCCAAAGCAATTATCAAGAAGCAGTAGGCTAAAAAATTCCAGAAGTTACAAGCAGGAAGTTCTGATAGAGTACAGCAACCTCCCTGAACAACTACCCAAGAAAGACCATGCTGTATTAGTGGGGCTAAATTTTTTTAAGCCCAAGAACAAAGGGTACTCCCACAGTAAATTTTGGTAGATCAATAATTAGGTTTGTTCCCTATCTACCTAACTAAAGAAAAATCAACACTTGTAAAGAATAACAAAATCTACATACTCAACAATTTTAACATGCAGAGTGTAACATATCCAATAAAATATTATTAGTCTTAGCAACATGGTGTATTCGGAGTCTCAGACTTTTTTCTCCCACAGAAACCTGGTTTGACGGAGATAGAAGAACCAAAAACACCTATATGGGAATTCCAGAACCCAGGTAACAAGTTGCACTATCACAGGAAAGAACAAACTCGAGAGCAGTTGTATTGAAACAGGTAAGAAAAATTTCACTTTACCTGTATCAACCCTCCCCCAAGAGGTCACACCCAGTGCTGAGAGAAAACTCCCGATCTTCTTGGGTGTGAAGAGTGGGTGGTGTGTCAGCATAGGCTTAGCAGGTAAGAGATTGTTAGGGAAGGTCAGTGATCTTAAAGACAATGCAACAAAAACCCACAAAACCACTGCACAGAAAGAAAAAAAGGATGTAGGAAATATAAACAAAACCTCGGTAATACGTGGAAAACATCAGATGGTCTCCTGTGTTAGGGGGATGTAGTTCAATAAAGGATGTGTATGGGGGCACACAAAGATTTAATGAAGAAATAACAGGCAAAACCTTTTCAGATTTCATGACAACTATAAATTTACAGATCCAAGAAAACCAATAAATCCAAAACAATATAAACACCAAGAAAATCACACAAAAATACACCACAGACTGTTGAAAACCAGTGATAAAGAAAAGCCATAACGGTAAGCCAAATGATACTTCGTGTAAGAAAACAAAGATGAGTATTACTACTGGCTTTTCATAGGAAAGCCGAAAGCATGATCCGGTATTTCCATTTCTCATTATACACCCAAAAGAAATGACAGCAGAAGCTCAAACAGTTATTTGTACATCAATGATAACATCAATATTAGTTTCAATACTAAGAGGGGGAAACAACCTACATATCCATCAATTAATTAATGGATAAATAAAATGTTACATGCATATACAATGCAATACGATTTAGCCTTGGAAAGGAAGGAGATTCTGTCACACACTTCAAGGATGAACCTTGAAAGCATTGTACTAATTTAAACAGGCAGAAAAGAACAAATATTGCACAGCTCTACTTAGATATGTAGCTAGAATAGTCAGATTCATAGAGACATAAAGAACAACGGGATGGAGGAAAAAGAGACAGGAATTTATGTTTAGTGATTACATTATCTTATGTTAGGATGACAACAAGAAGCACAAGAGATAGATGACAACCATGTAATGATGGCTCCATAATACTGTAAATATACCTAATGCCACTGAACTTAAACATAGTTAAAATGGTAAGTTCTGTGCTTGCATATTTTACTATAATGAAAATACGTATGGCACTTGAGTATAATGAAGATACTAAACTGAAAGAATGAAAGCTGAAAAGAATTTAAAGGTATTTTTCAAATATTAACAAGAAAATTATTCACTTAGAATTCAATAGCTAATAAAAATA